AGACCCCCGGCTCACTTGAATAAAACCTGAGCTTTCCTTCAGAAGTCACAAGCAGATTTGAATGCCAGTGCAACCTTTATCTCAGAAGAGATCAAACTTACTTGATAGTGCTTTTCTTATAGTCCCAGGGTGCTGTTACCCTGGTACCTTTTCATGGTTACACTGGAAGAAAAATTTTAAATAATGGAGAAGGCCCAAGGCATGCAAAACATTTGGGAAAGTTTAGTTATGTTTCAGTGCATAGTGTGTCATTTCCACTATCTCCTTTCCTCTTACCTAGATATTTCCTGAGGATTAACATTTTAAAATTGGTACCAGGAACTTTATAAATATAGTGAAGGTAGTAGCTGGGGAGTAATTATTCTGTTTGTGAATTACTTACTCAGCCCTTTCCCCCCAGAATAATTCTCTTACCAATTTGTTGGCATTTGCTTTAGCTTTCAGTATGGCATTCAGTAAACATGTTAATAGGAATTCTAATAGCTATTGCTTTTGGATATTTATCAGGTTCTAGGTGATTTTATCTTCTTTTATTTCTTAGAGCAATCTTTAAGATGGTTATATTATTACCCTACTTTGTAGTTGGGACCTAAGAAAGGTTAAGTTTTCTAATCACCCAAAGGTAATAAATGCTATTGCTAAGATTTCAAATATGGATTTTTCTGATACAAAAGAATTTATTATTAATTACTCTGCTGCATTGCTCCCTCAATTTCAGTAATAGGAAATAACAATGCAATCTTGAAGAAATAGACAAATTGTTCTGCATATTAACAACTGTGGTGGTTTTGTAGTTTTCCCACTTGGGTAGTTGGAACTATATTTCCTAGAATCTTTTCCCTATAGGATTGAGACACAGTGAGATTTGGAAGGCAGGAGTAAAGGAGTAATAGTGATTCTCTGAAGGCTGGCATGGTTAGATCAATGACAGACAGATGCACAGGTGCTGGCGGACAGAGCCTGCACTCATTTTCTCTAGCCTCACTCTAGCTGCTTTTCCTGACTACTTGATATTTTTTAGGAGCAACAAGAAACGGAATCAAGGTAGTGGCTCCAGTAGTGTGAGTAAGTAGAGCTTAGGCCAGACACATAGAAGGTGACCACTTTATAGAGCTGGTAAGGACTTCGGCTTTTACTGAAAATAAAATGAGAAGCCGTGGGTGCTGGTGGGGATTGTGGAGCTTGGTAGAACATGAATGTGATCCTGCTCATCTTTTTAAAGCTCCTCCTGGTTCTTGAGACTAACAAAGCTACAATTGTAGGTGACACTGGAGTTTACACTTACTTTGGGGAATGCCCAGCATATAGTTGGCATTTTCATCAAGTAACAGGATGCAATCACTTAGGGAATGAGTATTACTAGAAATGTGAGGAGGCAGGGAGACAGCCCTGGGGCACTCCAGCTGTTGTAAGGCAATGTCCACTAGGAAGAATCTGCAATGGAGACTGAGAGGGAACATTCAATGGGGAAGAAGAACCAAGACAAAAAAGCATTCTGGATGCGAAGTAGAAAGTATTGTACGAAGGAGACAAACAGTGATCAGCTTTGTTAAATGGTGCCAATAAATTGAGTAAGATGAGTAATAAGAATTTACTGAAAGTAATCATTTGCCTACTATTAAAACTGTAGCTAAATGACCAAAAATACAAGAATGAGGCAAAATGTAACAAAGAGCATCGTTATTTCTTCCTAGAAAAGCCCTGTTCACTCTCTCTTGATTAAAAACTCTATGCATCTGGGGGTTACAATTCAGAGAAAATACAGCTGTGAAGCCTTTTTCCAACTCTTGTTGGTAGAATGGTTGCCCCATTCTCTGTGTTCTCCTAGCATGTATTTTTTATACCTCCATTGTGACATTTGCCACAGCAATGATAATGAGCTTTAAAAATATTTGTTTTTCCTTTTGTAGAATGCAGTCTTCTAGGAAACATGGACTATATCTTATGTCTGCATTTGCAGAGTCTGGCACATAAAAGAGTAATGAGATGAATGAATGTGCTCATATGTGAAGGAGAAGTCCTAATGGAAGTAACACTTACGGTATTACTTAACATATGCCAGAAATCTTGCAAAGATTTTGACATTTTCTTGCAAAGAGATTGACATTTTCGCAGTAAGTTATTCTATATCATTGATCTTATTCATCTAATCAACTAATTGTAACCATAATTTACAAAGTAGGAAGCTCTGATTCACAGTGAGAAGAATACACAACACACACAGAGTAACATGTACACTGGTGGCAGATTTAAACCATATCTGACTGCAAGATTCATGATATTTTCACTGCATTACACTGAATAAATAAAAAAAGTACAAATAAATAAGTACACAGCACTTTCCTTTTTCGATGTCACCACCGGAATGGCTACCCATCCCTGGGTGCAGCTACCCACCAGCTCAGCCCCTCCATACATGTGGAGACGCCACCTTGGAGAGCAGCAGAACCATTAACCTCCTTCTCATCAAAATCCTAGCCTTACTCTATGTTTAGCAAAGTATTTACAGTGGATTTTTTTTTTATAAAAAAAGTACAAATAAATAAGTACACAGCACTTTCCTTTTTCGATGTCACCACCGGAATGGCTACCCATCCCTGGGTGCAGCTACCCACCAGCTCAGCCCCTCCATACATGTGGAGACGCCACCTTGGAGAGCAGCAGAACCATTAACCTCCTTCTCATCAAAATCCTAGCCTTACTCTATGTTTAGCAAAGTATTTACAGTGGATTTTTTTTTTTAAGTAAAATGGATAAGACTTAACTGCTTTTTTTCCTTGTCAAATCTCCTTTGCTTTCATACAGAAATAGCCTGACTTTCTTATATTTACATTTCCCTTCATCTTAGATGGTGTGATGAGCCACCCAATCACCCCTTCAGGAATAAAAACTTATTTCCTCAACTTCTGGGAGGGCTGGCAGCTGAAGGTCCTCAGGTGACAGCCCCTTACAAGGATTGCCTAGGCTGCAGAGATCTGCCTTGTTCAAGGTCACACCTCCTTTCCAGCATTTACTGTACCTGTGATTGATTGGTGGGGAGATGTAAAGGCCCCACACGCTCACTTGAACACTGGCCCACCCTGAATAGTCACATCTTCAGAACTTCCAGAAGGACTAGCTGAGACATTGCTGAGACTCTGTGGTAGCTCACTTTCTCCCTCTGTCTAAGCCTGCTTCCTTCCCTTCTCATCCACAAGGTAGTCCCTAATAAGCTCCCTGCTTCTTGAACTCTATCTTAGAATTGATTCCCAGGGAACTCAACCTGTGACATCCCCCAAATGTCAGCACATTACAATGTTCTCAGTTTCAGATAGTTTTGGTGGAAGAGTGGTCAGAGTACGTGGGCTGAAACCCCATGTCTACCATTTATTAGCTGCATTAGTGACTGTGGGCAAATCACTTAAAATCTCTAAGCTTCAGCTGCACTCATAAAATGCATTAGTAATTATGGATTAACCCAGAAAATACAGGTAAAACACTTAGCATGGTGATTAACACATACAGAGCTCTGAATATATGAAAAATAGTTTGCTTATTATTAAGGGAGACCACACCATCTCTGATAACATTGAACAAAAGAGTCAATGGAAATGTCTAATACCATTTAACTTCACAGACAAAGAAGGATTAAGTAATTTGCTCAAGATGCATACTTAGTTGGGACAGAGTTGAAACTAAGATGCAGATCTCTTGACTGCTACACATTACTGACTTTATCTTTTAAACAAACATCTTGGTAGAGTAAAATTCCTACTATAGGGCAACAGTTACATTTCACACATTCATGCTTAAAACCAGATTTCTGAAGAAGTGACTATAATCATCCCTAGGTTATATTTGTAAGAGACTAGAATTCAATCAAAATCCTTAATTCAAACAAACTTTTGAAAACATTTGTATTTTTTGGTTGTCTCTACTTCTGATTCCAATTACGTAGAAATGAAAGGCTGAAGCATAATTCTGAAGCATCTTCAGAACATAATTTAGATACACTAAATTTATTGCTCTATCGACCTTCCAGTTGTCAAAAGATAATGGAAGTCTTTCTGCTCCCCAGAGGTAAATTGTGCTTTTTTTCCCCCTGAAAAATTAAGGCTAAAGAATATCAGTTTTCAGAAGAAAATTACCAAAAAAAGATAAAAATTACTGTACTTTATCTTGATTTTTAAATTGCATAATAAGTGACTCTACTACTTAGATTAGCATTATCTGAGTCACAGTTATGACATAACAAAGTTAAAAATTTTTATGTGCTTTCTTTAGTCAACACTTACTCAATAACACATATTTATTGAGCATCTACTATAAACTCTGCAATATCTAGCCTTCTTTATTTCCCAGAGGAGTGACACAAACCTGTTCTATTAAAATTTGAACTCTCACTCTCTTATATTTATATATACAAACACTTAAATTGTAATTTCAATGTATGAAGAACATACATTCCATCAAAACCCTCATCTCTCCATTAATACTGACTCAAATAGCATTATTTTGATATACATAAATAATCAAAGATGTCATTGAGAAGGCACTAATGAGAAGTGACCAAGCATTTAATAAACTCTCCAATATTTAAAACTCATGTTATGTACTGAACAGCATATATTTTCCAAATGTGCTTAAGCTTTATAATTCAATTAACAGGAACTATGATTTAAAATGGTGTCACAGGTGAGTGGCATTTTGACGCTATCATTTTTGAACACAGAACAAGATGTACTGACCCTATTACAAAGAATAAATATCAATAAAACAGCAGGTCTCTGATAAACAGATATAATTACCAGAAGGATCTGCTTATTTACACATCAGGACTGCTGTCTTCATATATCTTGTCCCATTACATGATTATCAAATACACCAGCAATTTCAGAATAAGTAATAGCAATCACACAGAGTACTGCACGGTTAAATATTTTCCTCTTGGTTGGAAGACATTGGTATATAATATCTAACAAAGAATTACTCTCAACTCTAACCAGTGAACTAAGACCAACCTGGAGTCTGAAAACCAATCAGCACTCAGTGAAAGGGCATTTCTCTCATGATCCTGCTACGTGTTGTCACTTACGTGAGAAAAAACAGACTTGGCAGTTTTAAGACAGTACTTTTTCATCTTATCTTTCAGTTTGTGGAGGTTTCCTTTTCTAAAACCCAAAGTCCTTAAAAGAGTGAATTTGGCTCTGCAACAAGAGCTTCTTTTGCTCTTCAGGCTAGTATCTCCATGTTCGTTTTCTTCCCGTGCTGTGATGGGCGCACGAAGAACAGTTTCTTGCTGAGCTGTGCAGCTCCTACAGATGAGGACGGCAGGAGACCAGGCCGACAGCCAAGAAAGTGGAGCAAGAGGGGCTGAGATCAGAGCCAAGCCTGCAAAAGGCGATCTGCTACAGAAAGGCAGAAAAAGGACGAGGCCTGCTCTGAGCGTCAGGTGCTCCTGAAAGCCTGCTGGTTTGACCACTGGCCCCCCAATTGACCTGGGCTTCTACAGGAAGGGAAAGAGCTTTGCTGAGATGCCCGGTTTAGAGTCACAACTTTGCATCATGAGAGCCTTGGCAAGGTCTTACTGATAGAAACAGGGCGCAGGGAAACGGAGACCTTTGCACTGATGGCTGGGTCTCTTCCTAACAGCCCTTCGGAAGGTATTTGTTTCCTCATTGTGTGAGGTTTCGAACAGCTTTCCTCCAAGCCATTTGCTTTTTCGAACTTTTAATTTGTCCTTAGGATTAGTGCCATTGTCCTTCAGGCTGAGCAAGATGGAGCATTTCAGTGTCACTTACCAGTCAGGGAAACTGTGAGGAAAGGCAGTCCCTTCCGCCAGGACCTTGAGGAGGAGCGGAGGGGCCTCTCAGCGGGGTCTCTCTGTGGAGCACTTAATGCTTTGGTCCTGAAAGGAAAGAGTGAGAAGGAGCAGGAAATTGGACTTAAGTCACCTCCAAATCAGTACAGAGTTCAATCCTAGTGTGTGTTTGTTTATAAAATAGCTCTGTAAGTAATTCACACTCTGTTTCCCATTTAACCTCTTGGACACATGGCGTTCAGCCTACCGAGAAGATTTTCTGGAGTTGTTCATAAAGTGCTGAGTTTGACACCGACAGAAAGGAATTTGGGGTCAGATTTACTATTTTAAACTTAGGCCTTTGGGATTTATAAAAGATGTTTCCGATATACTACAACAGCTGGAAGAGCCTCTGAGATCTGTAGTGCAAGCGCGGGTTTCCTTAATTTGTATTACAGGTGAGGAAAACCAGGCTCAGGCAGACTGGCTGACTTTCTCCTGCACCTTGAGAACTTGTGATAACATCCTGCAGTCCCTACAGCAGGGAACTACTGCAGGGGAAGCCAACCCCTCCAGCTCCCAGACCTCTCCCAAGTGGAAGTTGCACTCAGTGGGGGGACCCCCTGTCTCTCCCAGTCCCAGCTGAGGGTGTTTCAATCTTCACCAGATAAAAAGAGACAGTCAAGGTCATTAACCCAATTTTTCTCTGTGAGGGTGGAGCTGGGATTGGTTGCTGAGCTATTCCAATGACCCAGAAATTACATGTATTCGTTTCTTTCTTTTAAGATAAAAGCATTTCTATTCCAGTTTTTCTATGGCTCTTTTTCAAGAGAAGAGGAGGGGGGAAAGCCCCACATCTTTGCTAGCAGACTCCTTTTCTATACTCAGTCTTTTATAATCTATCTTGATTCTCAGCCAATACCTTACTTTTTTTTTTTTTTACTTTGTGTCTTTTAATCACCTAAGGAAACTGACTCAGTGTCTTTCCCTCTGGATCACAGGCTACGCCTTCATCTCTCTCTCTCAGGAGGAGATGGAAGGGTGAGAAACCTTTTTTCCTGTGTTGGCTCCTTCCCTGACCATGTTAACTTCCTTCTCTCCCAGACCTCTTTTGGACCATTATTCATTCCTGAGCCTCATTTTTTTTAAAACTATTTTTATGCAACCACAGGAAAATGTTTTAAGAAGTTATCTCATTATTAAAAGTTAAGAAATTGTCTCCTATATAGGTTTACACAAATGCACAGAACTGTGTGTATATATGTATATACCTACATAAATGCATATAAGATGGAAAACCTTTCTTTAGTTTTTCCTTCTAAGTATAATAAATATAAGACAAAATGAAAAAGAACAAAAATATCAGAGCATTCAATATATCCTTTTTAATATATTTTCTTTGGGGAAGGGCTGGCAATTATATGATAAAGTATTTTTAATTGTATCGTACCGTATTCAAAGTCTGTACATAACTACACTCTGCAGGTCTTGGTATGATAGAAGAGAAATATTTACAGTTATAATGGAAAAGGAAATAACACCATCAATACACAAGACAGTCATTCAAATATGGAGAATGTTGATGAAAGGGCTAGAATGAAACTTTGTCCCACTTTTATTCCTTGATTATGGTTCAGACTATAGGCCTCAGAATCATGGACAGATTTCTTTCCAGGACAGAAACTTTTTGCTCAAGGTCTGATTTTTTTCCTTTAAAATGATGTTTCTGTTTTCCATCCCACACTCAAATACTTTCAGTTTTGCCAAATATCTGAGGTTCCCATAAAACAATGAATTTGACAAACCATAGCCTCCTTTAAATTGGCATTTTTAGCTTCTCTCAGTGCCAGGTCCTGGGTTATATTTGGAATATTATGCTGCTTTTTAGTTTTCTGCAAAAGCATGTAAATGATCAGGAATGTATGGTTTGAAATAGTCATCACAATAAATTTAAAACTTCCTTCTTACATTGAGTGGTTACTCCTTTGATATATACATTTATCAATGAATCTCAGTAAATGAAATTTCAAAAGTAGAAATTAAACTTTAACTTCTACTTGCTTCAAGCTATCAATATCTATCCTAATTCTGAAAATGTTTGTGTTAATACATTCTTGCTTCTATCTTAGCGTATCTTTTTTTCCTTCAAAAATCATTTTTATTGCTCTTTCTTAATAGAAAAGTAACTCATGTTCACTTTATAAATTTTAGAAATAGAAATAAGGAAAGAGAAGCTTCTCTTAGCATATTTTAAGCATTTATGGCATCAACAGTGAGAAAAGAAAGGAAGATATAGTCTTAAACATACCAAAGGAAATAAGGGTAAAAGTAAAAAATCAATTCTCACACTGCATTCCACAGGAGAATAAGGACCATGTTGTCAAAACCACTATATGAACTCACACACACACAATATTTATATTAGAGGCATAGACATACTTCTAAAGCAACATAAATTCTCAGGTCCTTTTTACATATCATATAAGATTATCCACAAAGCCATCATGAGAAAACTAAGATTTGCAGAGGTTTTCATTTTCTAAGACTGTGTCCATCAAATCTCACCAGACTCCCATATGACATACTGTCTTCAGTGGCATTGAATTCACTCATTCATTTGTTATAACTAATTATTGATTACAGGTTATGTATTAAAGCTATACTGTATGTGAGGGATTTGATGTAGAGTTCCTGCCCTAAAGGAGCTTAAGGAGTAGAAGAAGAGACATATTTTCATCAAATAGTCATATGTAGAATTACATGCTGACAAAATGTTCTGGTAGAAAGGAGCATGGTTATCGTGTACTTAGTGTAGACCCAAAAAATGAAGTGATAGGATGACAAAGGGTGCCTTGAAGAAATCATAGTTGAGGTATAACCTAAGGAATGGGTAACATTACCTAGGTATGAGAGAGGGACTAGTTCAGAAAGAGGAAATAATGTGGGCAGTGGCCCTTTGTTGAGAGGAAACGTGACACATGCCTGGAATGAAGGCTCATTATGATGGAGCATAGAGAGAGGGGAGGAGATGCAGATGAAGTCTGAGAGTTAAGCAAAAACTTTGCTTATCAGTGAAATCACTAGTGGTGTGGTGGTGGTGGGTGGGGGACAGAGATGAGAATAGAATTAGGGAGAAGGGGTAGAGATTGAGAAGACGGACCCTATGAAGGATAGATAGAAGGCACACTTGGCCAAACTTGACTGGTGGGGGAGAGGGAAGAACCATGGAAAAGTCTCCGTGATTCGGATGCTTGCAAGATGAGCAAGTATCGGTTACATGTGAGAAAGCCAATTCTGAAGGTCACAATGATATATTCAGTAATAGAAATGTTGTGTTTAAAGAGGGTTAGAAAGCTGTTTGATAAATGAAACCGCATTGCAAAGATACATTTGGGAATTTTAACATGTAAGTGGTTACCTTGAAACCTTGAAGAATGGATGCAATTTTCTATTGAAAGTATGTCCAACAATAATAATAGTGGGCTAAGGACAAAATCCTGATGAATACCAACATTCAAGGAGCAGAAGGGAATAGAAACCTATGAAGAGACATGAACAGTCTGACTGTAAGGGAGGAACGTGTAAAGGACAGTGGTGATGGAAGCCATGGTAGTGACACAGCAGTGTCTCAAGCAGGTTTCCTTTAAGATCAGGGAATTAAGGGATTTGGCAATCGATAAATCATTTGTGGCGAGAATAAAAGAGGTAGAGTGATAAAGGCAGAAGTCAGATTACACTGGACAGAAAGGTGAATGGGAGATGAGTAGGCGGAGAAGAGTGCAGTCATGAAGGAAAGAGTGTGTCGGGGATGCAGGATCAAGAGAGGGCGATGTTGTTAATGATGGGGTTTTGTTTGTGCATGTTGGGGAGGATCCAGCGGAAATAAAAAAGTTGAAATTATAGTAGAGAGAAGAAATATGGAAGAACCAAGGATCTGGAGGACACGTGACAGGGGAACAGGTCAAGGACTCAAGGAATGGATCCATCCTGAGTGGGAGTAAGGGCATCTTTTCTTTGGAAACAGAGAAAGCAGTTAGATACACACAGGTGATTGACTGCTTACTACCCCTTTTCACTGGAGGTTCCTTTCACTAGGCAGTATTTTCTGTTACAAAGGACATATAGATTCAATATTATTCTATAATACAATAGATTACAGGTTGGAAGGACTGGAAATGTGGTGTCATGGAAAAGAACATAGTCTTGGAGTACAGTTCACATATGAGATCTCTTATTTCCTGTCTTCATGGCCATGAACACACACACACACACACACACACACAAACACACACACACACACACACTTTTAACTTTGGAGAGCCTTTGCATCCTGTTATTATGCTGTGGGATAATACCTTCCTTACAATTCTGTAGTTTGGGTTTGAATTCCACAACTCGTTTGAGGTTCCCGGAACCAACTTGAATATGTGTGTTTATGCGAGGGGGTCTTCTCACATAACTAAGCAATTCTTGATCACCAGCAGAGTGTCTAAAAATTCAACTCAATTCTGACAGTATCTGCCCAGAGAAACACCAGATTCTCCAGGTTAAAGGCTTCATCCTGTAAAATTTCCCTCCACCTCCACTGCCAACCCCCATCCCCCACTTCCAGACACCAGTCATAAACCCCGTGCAATTACCTGTGCTTCTGAACAACTGGCTACAGACAACAGGTTTCAACAAACAGGTTCCCTTTAGGTTTAATTTGCTAGAATGGCTCAGAACTCAGGAAAACACTTATGCTTACCAGTTTAATAAAGGATACAGTAAAGGATGCAAGGTAACAGCCAGATGAAGAGATAAATAGGACAAGATGCCGAATAAAGGAGCTTCTCTCTTCCCGGAACTTGGGGCCTGGCTCGGTGGCACCTGGAAGCATTCTGGTTCCCTAAGTGTAGAAGCTCTCTCTCTCAGACAGGGAAGCAGGATGCAAAAGAGAGATACACTTTTTTCATGGGTTTATGCAAGGGCTTCAAAGCATAGTCATGATTG